AGGAACTGGATAGACACTTCTCAGAAGATGATATACAATCAATCAACAAATATATGAAAAAATGTTCAACATCTCTAGCAATTAGAGCAATGCAAATTAAAACTACTCACTCCAGTCAGAATGGCAGCTATTAAGAATACAAACAACAATAAATGTTGGTAAGGATGTGGGGAAAGGGCACACTTTTACATTGCTGGTGGGACTGCAAATTGGAGCAACCAGTCTAAAAAACATTATGGAGATTCCTTGGAAAACTGGGAGCGGAACCACCATTTGACCCAGCTATCCCACTCCTAGATTTATACCTAAAGGACTTAAAGACAGTACATTACAAGGACACAGCCACATCAATGTTTATAGCAGCACAATTCACAATAGCTAAATTGTGGATCCAACCTAGATGCCCTTCAGTAGATGAATGGATAGGGAAAATGTGGTAAATATACACAATGGAATATTACTCAGCCTTAAGAGAGAATAAAATCATGACATTTGCAGGTAAAAGGATGGAGTTGGAGAATATAATGCTAAGTGAAGTAAGCCAATCCCAAAAAACCATACGCCAAAATGTCTTCTCTGATATAAGGATGCTGATTCACAATGGGGATGGCACGGGATGGGGAGCATGGGAGGAATAGATGAGCTTTAGATAGGGCAAAGGGGAGGGAGAAGAATGGAAGTGGCATGGGTATAGAAAAGATGGTGGAATGAGACAGACATCATTACCCCCTAAGTACATGTATGAAAACACGAATGGTGTGATTCTATTTTGTGTACAATCAGAGACATGAAAAAATGTGCTTTTTGTGTAATATGAATTGAATTGCACTCTGCTGTCATATACAACAAATTAAATTTTTTAAAAAATTGCACCATGACAGAGCTGGGAGCACTGAGCACTATCTTTGGTACTATTAATTTTACTTGGCCTGTTTTGTCACCTATGAGACAAAGGGATTAGACTTTGTGAGATAAACATATATCTGTAGGGCAGGATGTCAAGCTGGGCCACTTGTCAAGTTCTTTTCTCCTCAGGCCCAGGCCCTCCCTATGACTATGATGAAGGGTATTGAAAGGGTGGACAACAAATGCTCAAACTGGCCAGAGCACTGAATAACCAATGCTGGGAGCCTGGAGCTTTGTTCTATTTCTCTTCCTGGCTGGATTTGAACAGGTATGGAGGCCTAATTAGATCACTCTAGAACTCCTACAACCTCTGGACAATTAAATTCTGTTAGCACTTTGCCAG